CACGAAAAGTTTTGAAAACTTTTTTGTTGAACGTAAGGCTGGTGTTCACGAAACGATTTGTTTGCGATGATCGCACTGTTTGTACGGTTAGGCCATCTGTGGAACGGTATGTGCCATCAGTTGTAGGTTTTCATTACTTTTACTTTTTCAATGATTAACTTACTATTCAATAAATTGCAACTAGCAATTTTTACAGAAACTTTAAATGTATATTTTGAAGTATTAAGTTAAACACTCGTTTAATTTTAATTTATATAGTATTAATTACAATTAATTGTATCAATATAAAAATAAAAGCTATACTAATAAACAGTTTAAATGTATTGTGTTTATAATTTTAGCATGTAATACAATATTTTCTTATCACTGGTTACCATAGGATTTTTAATATGATATAAATTCAACAAATTAAAAGTCATTTGTAATAATGGGTGTAATTAGCGCCAGAAATGAATTAATAAATAGTGTTTAAAAAGTTCATTAATTTGAAAAATACATCAATATTGCAATTATTAAGCATATATTTTATTATAACTTCATTATTTTTGTTATAATGAATTATGATTAAATATATTTATTTATTTGGGAAGCATCTAAGGTTAAAATATATTTATATTAAAGTTACTTTCTAGACATCTTGGTCCCATAATTATTAAAATGTTAACAGAGCGATAAAAACATTAAACAATTAATAGCAATATTTTTCTATTAAAATTTTTCTTATTTATCAGGAAATGTGCAAATCATAGACCAAATATCATTAGCATCTCATGAGTAATAGACCGCAAAAGTATTTCTTTACAATTATATTACAATCATTTTGTTAAATAAGTCATCCCTTTCCGGGAGAATAAGAGAGTGATTGAATGAGAGAGAGAGAGAGAGAGAGAGAGAGAGAGCCGATAAATGAATTCATATTAAAAGTTAAAGTAAAACATTAGATAATAGGCTAAGAGTTATGTATAATGTTCGCTCATATATGAGTTTAATGATAAGATGTCTACCAAATTACTCGACATAATACTACTAATCCTATTACACATCCATGTGCTGACCCACACGTACGTAGAGTGCGGTCAAAAAAAGCAGGTAATAGTGATCAAGCAAAAGGCCGCCCCCTGTGTTCCCAAAGTGATTGTCGTGCCTCAAGTGAAGTACGTGAAAGTGTTGGGTCCTAAGCCCAAAGAGAAAGTGATCGTGGTGAAAGGGCCCCCGAAAAAGCCCAAAGTGATTGTGGTCAAACAGCCGGCACCACCACCACCGCCCGCAAAGACTATTGTGGTTAAGCAACCGCCACCGCCTGCACCTCCTGGTAAACTAATCATGGTCAAACAAAAAGTACCTGTCCCCGTGCACATACCTGTGCCCACTCACAAGCCAGAGGTTTATATATTGGAAGCCAAAAAAGAGAGCAGTGGGTGGTAGTAATGGACAGTTGGTTATGAGCTAGGATGTATTATGGTTTATTTTTAAATACCCTTATTACATTATATAATTTGTGATTATTTAAAAATATAGTGTTATATTTTGTAAAGTTTTTGCAATATGTAAATTATATATTCATAATTATGTTTATACCTTAAAATTATAATAAATAATTATGAAATAAAATATTTATATTTTTATTTGGTTAGAATTAATAATTCGTATATTTAATAATTTTAAAAATAATTTTAATATTGGTTTATTTGGTTCTAAAATCTCAAATTATTATAACTAATAATTATAAACACTTATTTTAGTTTGTAAAATAAAACCATATAAAAATAAAAATTTATAACTAAAGTATTACAAAATATTTTGTAAATTAATAATACAGTACTTTGTAGGCTTGACTAGGCCAATATTTAAAATTAATTTATGACTAATAAATAATTTTAATATTTAAAAATATAATTTACAGTATATAATCAATGTTAATTTTGTATTTACTGTTATAGTTAATATTATGTCAAACTATAACATGTCTTATCAGTGGCTAATAGCCAATGGTCAGGGAGATACCTACTGATAAGACCAGTTTGACAGGTCATAGGTATAAATATTTATTTTTTGATCCTTTTATTAACTATAGCTAATAACTAATTCTTTAAAAATTACTCCAAAAATTAAATTGAAAACAATATACAGTATTACAAATTTAATAAGTTTTAATGTAATCTATTAAAAATAACACTACCGAGAAAATGTATTGTAATAAATTAATGATGTGATTAATAATAAAATACAAAATAATTAACGATTCATAAAATATTTCGCTACGAAACCCTTTATACTAAACAATAATTTCTATACAATTAAAGTGAATACATCTTAGATTGCATGTTAAATATCTACAACTTTTATACACTATTAAACAAAATTTTAACAAATTTACGCCCTCACTATCATAACCATTAATGGATTACTTTTTACTTTTATAATAANCTTTGGTCCGCATCTGCGATGAGTGCAACTATGGCTCATATCAGGGCCGGTGTGTCATCTGCGGTGGTCCCGGGGTTAGTGACGCCTACTATTGCAAGGAGTGTACGATTCAGGAGAAGGACAGGGATGGCTGTCCCAAGATTGTCAACTTGGGCTCCAGTAAAACGGATCTCTTTTATGAGCGCAAGAAGTATGGCTTCAAAAAGAGGTGATCGACCACTGGCCTCGACTACAGGTGCCGTATAACAGGTGCCCATTGTGTTAATGATAATTGGATTTTAGTTTCAGATAATTAACTATTTTCTGCAGTTTTTCGTAGTTTTGTATAACTTTTTAATTCATTTTTTATTTAATTTACGAATAAATCAATTGAAAAAATAATTTTATATAAGTTTTATAATAATTAATGTATCATGTTAACTTATAAGAGTAATGAGCGTCCAGTGTCTGGACTACCATTCCTCGTTCTGTTCCTCCCATTCGTGCTCTCGAGGTGTAGGCGCCGGTTGTGTTTCGTGTTCGTCGACAACCACCACATCTTTGATTATCTCCGGCGGTGATGAGTGTCTGGCCGGTGGCGGCGGGTGATAGACTGGTGGTGGCGCCGGTGGTGCCGGTGCTGCGTATAAATACAACCGCTGTTTGTGTTCAGGCGGTGGTGGCGAATGAACGGGTGGTGGTGGTGGCGGCTGATGGTGGACTTCGGGTGGTGGCACCGGTACTATCCATACCTTTTTCGGTACTGGTGGTGGTGGGGCCCGTTTTTTAGGTGGTGGTGGGTGTTTATACACTGGCGGTGGTGGTGGGGGCCTGTGATGTTCAATCCATACTCTCTTAGGCGATGGGGGTTGCGGGCACGGGATCTGTACCCACTGGGGTTTACAAGCTGGTGGTGGCGGTACGGTTTGAACACCGGCTAACTGTCCACTCATTAGTACGTAATATAAGACTTTGATTACTATTAATGGGAAAATTTGGTGTAACATTTCTGTCGCAAAACTTTTGCAGTTTATGACCATTTGTTGCATAATATATGAGATTTTTCCACATTTTTGGGGAGATTTAGTCAATTAATTGGTTTTTTGTTAAGAAATTGTATTAAATTTGTTGTTGTTTTTAAAAGTTTTCACTTTTCTGTTATGAATATATCATAATTAGCGTTGATTTTTGGGTTAATTTGCATAAAATTGTGATCCATTTCTGTTGAATTCATTTTGAATGTTAAGTGAAGTGTGAAACTCGGGTTAAATATTCAGTTTATTGAGTGATAATTAGCATAATTTGTGATTATTGTGAACATTTCTACATAACTTGTCCATAGAGTGTAATCGAGGTTAAATTAAATGACGAATGAGTATTGATTAAATTACACTGTTCACACCTCTTAGCCCAGAAGTTAATAATTAATTAATTTTTATTTGAGATTAAACACCAAAATCTAAATAAGTTTAGTATTTTTATTTATAAATTTAAAAACTTATAAATAATTTTTAATGAACAGAAACTCACATTTTAATTTTAAACTATAATAATTTGTAAAACAATCTAGCCTAACAAAAAATAACTAATTTAATAATATAGCAAATATGTTTTTGATATCTCAATTGCTGAAAATAGATTGAATCATGCTCAAATTACAATTAATGTGATTAACAACTGTAACCATATATAAAACATTTAATTCACAGGTATATAAGGTTTGGTCAGAGGTTTTGTAGTTTGTATGAAAAGTTGTGGGAAATGATGATAATTACTACTTGAAGGTCATATCAAAAGACCTGTTTTTATGATTTATGCGAATTCTGTCGGATCCCAAACCTATTAAATAAACTTTTTATTTATGTTATATAATATAACTTATATTTATTTTATATCAAATAAAATTGAATTTAAAAATGTATTCAATAAATACACATTCCCTAATCACAATATATTACCATATAATTCACAACATATAGTTAACTAAATTTATATAAACTTGGTATCTAAAATTTATTATTGTTTTAACACAAGTTTTATGGTAAATAAATGAACTTTTAAATCAAAAAATAGTTAATCGATTCAAAATCATTTTATTAATGTTTTTGGTTTGAATTTGCAATACAAATGATGTGAATAATAATAATACAAGTTTTGAAATAAAATACGAAAAGTTAAAAGCATTTGATAGACAGAAATGCGTGAAACAAATGTTGATTTCAATTTTGGTTGAATAAATAATTTGGATTTGAAAAAACTAATGCCTCATAAATAGCGTATAAATGTTAGTGAAATAATTAGCAAGCACAAATTTTGAGCCCATTATAAAGAATCCCATAGATATATAAATACAAACTATTAAATAAAATAATTATATAATTAATTCCCAAATCAGGTGTTTGTAGGGGAACTGGATCTCAAGACTCATTTCCAATCGTCATGACCACCATAACCGCCACCACCGCCTCCGCCACCGCCACCATAACCGCCACCACCACCGCCGCCACCCTTCTTGTAAACGGGCACCGGGATGTGTACGGGCACCGGCACCTTAACCGGCACTTTGACGGGCACTTTGACCGGGACTTTAACGGGCACCTTGATGGTCTTGTAGACGGGAACCTTTTTGATGACTGTGTAAGGCACGGGCACCGGCACCTTCTGGGTCTTGTAGATGACTTTAGGCGGCGGGCACTTGTAGCCACCACCCCATACCCCGGTGGTAAGCACCGATATTATCACGACCAGCAATAGGCTGGACAGTCGCAAGTAATTCATTATCCAAAAGGCTTTTCACCACAACTTTTGGTGTTTCACTGAAAAATAATAGTTTTTTCGGAAATAAGACAAAACTGTTGAATGTTTTGTCTGTTTGTGTTGTGATTGGATTTGTCGCTGAGTTTGGGGTTTATATACACCTTAAAGTCAGCCATCAATTAGTCGTGTTTTGAGTTTAATTGTGGATATAATTTGTGTTTGCCTTGAATTTTAGATAAAGGAGTTGATTTGCTCAATAGACAGTCTGTTCCCGTTTTTTATATATGCCTGTTCAATTGATATACATTTCATTTATTATAAACAATGAATTTCATTTGTAAGTTATTAATGTATATCAACTCAATGGACATTTAATTTAATATGAGTTCATTAATTTTAATCATTTATAAATTGAATTAAAATTATTAAATAATATTCAAATTTGTTTCAATTTAAATGTTTTCAAAAATATCAAAACTAATTTCGTTAAGCATTTATTGGTTGCAAAATATAATATTAAATTTTAAGGTCTCTATGATTTATATTGATTGTTTATTTAATAAATTTTATATAATTTAATAAAATATTTTTAATCATGAAATACAGTATTATGTTTGTTGAAAAGGTGTTTAGACTGTATTGTAAATGAGTATATAATTTGTAAATTTTTACTTTTCAATCGGAAATTACATAAATGATCAGTACGTTTATCATAAATACTTGTAATTGAAAGCTATGGGAAAATGAAGAAAAATTAAAATTTAGAGAGAGAGAGAGAGAGAGCATAGAAAATATATTAATAATTTTGAACGAAAAATGATTTTCATTGCATGACTGAACCCGTGAATGAGTTTGACTTGAAAAGGGGGTAAAACTGTTGTCTAACTGTATTTTAATTTTACTCTTAATTTGTATATAAAAAAGAAGAAAAACTTTTGTATTACTTTTGCGGAGAAAAGATTTTCAAATATCCATTACAGTACATAAAACCCATTGTATACTATCTATACATGAGAATAGTTTTATATAAAAATGTTTACTTTATTTATATAAAAACATTTACCGGATTTCCTAAATATGTCTCTCATTAAATGCTTCCATGATTTTTAATTTAATATATTAATGAACTTACCAATTGTGTATTATTTTGTTATGTTTAGTGTAATGAGAGTGTATTGTATTTTATTGTATTTAAAATTGTTGAAAGAATTTCAAATTACTTTTAAATTTCATTACAATTATTGGAAAACATTTACTTAATTTTCGTCAAAAATACTGCTAATTATAATAACAATCATAATCACAATGAATAAGAAAAATGTAATGAATTCCACAATTCTCTCTGATTTCGGGTCTATATGTCTGATGAATGCCATGAATAATGAGAATAAACTTTTGATACAAATATTTATTTTAAAGGAAAAATCAGTGGTATTTGTAATATTAGCACTTATATTTTATTTTTGTCTATAATTAAAATTTAAATCAATATTTATTAAAATATTTTAAAGGAAAAATATGTAAAAATATTTTCGTCACATACTGTATATTAAAAATATTATTTTGCACCAATTTTATCAAATTAAAATTAATAATAATATTAGGACAGTGTTTTGAGTTATTTGCATTGATTTATGCTTAATTTATAAACTAAATTTTGAAGTTTATTTTTATCTACAAGTATAATGTCAATAGTTAATGTCATTTACATTAGCTCAAGTTTTATATGGCCAAGGTAAAAAATTGTAACTGTTAATTAACAGTTATAATTTAATTATATTTATCAAAATTTTTATTTTTTAATTCAATTAATGATAACAAAATTAGATACAAATATCTCATATCTTTATCTCTCTCTCTCTCTCTCTCTCTCTCTCTCTCTCTCTCCCATAGTAATGACCGTGACTTGTATTACACGCACATTCAACTGTCTATTGAAATAAATTAATTGTATTTTACTTTTGATTATTAAATTGGATGTAATAATAGAGAACACAATATAATTGACAATAAGTTCACGACTGGAGTCATAGATATCTATGGAGTGTAACAGAAAAACGAGAGACACAACAGGTTTTGGTCTCTATTTTGCATCCGTTCTTGAATTTGCACTCAAAATCACTCAACACTTGCATCGATAGTGCGATGAAGGACTGGGAGTTCAGTGTCCAGGCGCTCGCTATCACTCGACTAATTTATAATTACAGACAGGATTAGCCACATATGATAATTAGGTCATTAATACGATAATTGCTGTCAATGTCTTCATAAACAGCATTGTTTATCGTAAAAACTACTGTATATAAAAATACATGGTTTGATTTTATATTTAAGTAATTATTGTAAGTTTATAAATATTTTATTCATTTAAATAAAAGTACAATATTTAAAAAATCAAGTATAAATAAAATGCCAAAATATTTCTTAATTTAAATTTTAAAATTGCATTTAATAGAATTAAACTTTAAATATTAAA